CAAAAACAAAAAACACAGACCCTCCAAGTGAAAGCAGAACAGAGGCCCAGAGCTGATGGGGGAGGGTAGGACTTGGCCAGAGACCTTTGTCCCTCCCCACCCACTAGTCCACAGGTCTGCCTTCTGTCTGTGCTAAGGTGCCACCTGTCTTTCCCTGGTCCCTGTGTATTGCTTATCCTCTCCTGTCTGTGTCTATGCCCAGACCTGACATGTCTGCTCTCCCCATCTTATCTGGATTTAAGCCTGACACTGTGTGACTCTGTGCAAACTTTTCTAGGCTTCAGGTGACTGTCTGGGACGTGATAGATGGGTTATAATTTACAGTGGTAGAAGAAGTTTCCACACTGGGAATTCCTTACATTGACAAATTCAGAGATATAATATCAAGGTGTTATCCAAGAATTTTAAAGCTTGAAGGGCCCTTAAAAAGCATCTTATCCACTTCCCCTAGTGGGCCAATAAAGGAACTGAGCTCTAAAGAGGAGAACTGACTTTCCCAAGGTCATCCCATGATTTCACGCTAATAATAACAATCACTACTATCTTCATATGCTTTACAGTCTACAAAGTGCTCTTCTACAAAGAGGTAGGTTGGTGTGAGGGTGGATTAAGCCCTGAGTCAGGAGGGCCTGAATTTCAATCTGGCCTCAAACACCGACCCTAGGCAAGTCCCTTAACCTTTGTCTACCTCAGTTTCCTCCACTGTAAAATGAAGATTGGCAATTATACCTCCCTCCCAGGGTTGTTATGAGGATCATATGAAATATTTGTAAAGCACTTGACACAGTGACTGGCACATAATAAGTGCTTAAAAATTCCTTTCTTTCTTCTGAGAGAAAGGATTATTTATAACCAATGACTTGGGGAGATCCAGAGTTCCCCCTTTTTCTAACATCCTCATTTTGAAGCTCAGTCTCTGATGGTTGAATTCACATTCTCCTCAATCTTGTTCAGATCCACCCAACCTTGTAAGGAATTTCATCTAAGGTGGGGAAGCCCATTGTGCCCTACACAGGTTTGAGTGGGGATAAATTCTTTGAATAGATTGCCCAAGGCTGGAGGATTTAGAAGCAAATGACATAATCCAAGTTCATTAGAAGAGGTCCAGCCCCTCATTATAATATTCCTTCTCTCCCATTACTCATTAACCAATCAGAGTTGATTGCTAGCATCAGAAACACCTGCTCTTCCAAGGGCATATAAACTATGAACCCACTACCATGAGTGGGTCTTTGGCGTTTGAGAGTGTCACTGACCCTTTTATTAATAAAATGCTAGCATTATTAATGAAATTATTAATTACCCAGAAATTATATCTCTTGAACTTTCTAAACACCACACTTCCACTGACCTTGTAGCTGTGTAGTGCAAGGATTCTTATCCTCATTTATAAACGAGGAATCTGATGCTTGGAGAGGTCCAGTAACTTCCTTGAGTTCACACAGTTGGGGATGGCAGAGTCAGGTCCCAAGTCTTTTTTCTGTGACTCTTCAGTCCAGTGGCCTTTCCACAATACCAACCTACCTACCCATAACTTGGGCTTCTGCAGTAGACTCCCACATGTGTGTAAATTCCAGCCAACTTCAGGCTGAGAGTCTGCAAGAATCAACTACCAACTGGACCCAGATGAGGACAGAGAAGGCCTTTTACTTGGTTGCACTAGATTGTTGGTGGCCTCTGATCTGATGTGGTATGCAATGTACATATATGGGTTCAGGTACAGACTGTAACTGATGTCACAAAAAAACTTCCTAACAATGAGAAATGTCTAAACATGAAATGGGCTGCCTTGAGAGACAGCGAGCCTCCCCTTTTGGGAGGTCTTCATACAGAGGCTTAATGCCCACTCATTGGATTTCTTTTGTGTATGAGTTGGGTTAGATGGCCACTGAGGTACCCTCCAACTCTCAGAATCTCTGATTCTGAGGAATAGTCCATTTTGGGAAGCAATGGTGGGGATAGGAGGGTGGGAAGGAAGTTGTACAAGACTTATTTAGGTTCAATGTCAAGAAAATTAGTGAGGGCTATTAAAAAGTACAATGAGCTGCCATGAGAGGTGGGGGATTCCATCTCCCCCCCCCCCCCAGAGGTCTTCAGGCAAAGACTGGATGACCACTCATCAGCTAAACTATAGTGGAGATTTTTTTCAGATTGGTTAGAATAAATGCTTATTGAGATCTCTTCCAATTCTTTGACTCTATGAATTCAGCAAGCATTTACTACATACCCACTTTGTGCAGTGCACTGTTCTTAGTTCTGGGGTTATGCATAAGAAAAACTTTCTAGTCTCTGCTTCCAAGAAGCTTACTACCTCATGCTTTTCAGATTTAGGCACTAAAAAATAAAATATACCATAAACTAGTTTCCAAATGATTCCTTTGTATTGTATGGAATTCCATTGCTCTCCATATTGAGTAGTGATATATGAGCCAGCATGGTTTCATCAAGAATGAATCATGCCAGACTAACCTAATTTCCTTCTTTGACAGGATGACTAAAATGAATAGATAAAAGGAAGGCAGTGTCTATAGTTTACCTAGATTTTAGCAAAGTGTCTGATCATATCTTATACTATCCTTGTAGAGAATATAAAGATATGAATTGGGTGATAATACAGCTAGATAGATTCAGAAACTGGCTGGATGGCTGGACTCAAAGAATTGCAGTTAATGGTTTAATGTCAACATGGCAGATGGTCTTTGGTGGAATACCCCAGAGATCTGGACTTGGGCCAGTGCCCAGGCAACCATTTTTATCAGTGACCTGGTTAAAGGCATAGATGTTGTGCTCATCAGATTTTCAGATAACACTAAGCTGGGAGAGTTAACTAACACTCTGAATGATAGTCAGGAACCAAAAGTGAGTCAGTAGTGTGATTGGCTAATGCAATCTTGGGCCACAGCTTGTGGGAATGGGGAGAATCCCACTATACTCTGCCCTTGTCAGACCTCATCTGGACGGCTGTGTTCAACTCTGGACACATGGTTTAAAAAAGAGACTATCTAGAGGAAGGTGACCAGGATGATGGAAGACCTTGAGTTTATGATCTATGAGGTGCCATTTATGATTAGCCTGGGGAAAAGGAGACTCAGTGGGGACATTACTGCTGTGTTCAAGTATTTGAAGGGCTGCGTGTGGGGGATGTGATTAAATTAGTTTTGCTTGTTCCCAGAGGGCAAAACAAGGAACAATGGGTAGAAATTGTAGAAGTCTTGATGTAAGAAAAACATTTCCTAAGTTAGAGCTGCCCCAAATTGGAGAGGGCTGCCTTTGGAGGTGGCGAATCCTCTACTCCATCCCCACTCCCATCCCAACTTGGAGGTCTTCAACTAGGGGCCAGACAACCAGTTGTCAGGTATACTCTAGTAGATTCCTTTGTGTATGGGTGGGACTAGAGGCCTGCTGACAACCCTTCCAACTCTTTAGTTCTAAGGTTCTATGTTTCTGTGATACTGAGATTGAGTATTACATTATTGCTTGATCCTTCTACCCAAAGGAATGTCTGTGCTCCTCAGAGCAAGTGGATGCCTCCATGAATCTGCCCCAAAGAGTAAGGGGGTGTGCATTATATGTAGAGCCCACTAATCCAGATGTATGATCACAAGATTTAAAGAGGAAAGGAGCCTTTGTGATTGCACAGTTCAATCAATAATGCCCTCATCTAACTGGAGAGGCAGCCAAGGCCTGCAGGGGAGAAGGGATTTTCCCATATGACCCCAAATCCAGCCCTTTCCAGAGCTGCTCATTGACTTGAGGTTTGAGCCAGCTGGACACCTCCACCTCATCTGACTCAAAGGCTACATCTGGTTGTCCGACTGATGCCCATCAGTTAACCACTTTGAAAGTCCAGGTACTTATTCAGAACTTTTCAGATGTCAGCATGGCTACATTTTTCTGTTTTTCATATGGGCAGTTTTAATTCATTTAATTCAACAGTTCGCTTCTGTGGCAAACACTGTGCTAGGCACCAAGGATAAAAAACCCATCCCTGCCCTCATGGGGTTTTCAGTCTACCAAGGATGACAACAGATCCACAGAGCAGCATACACAGTTTAGGTGGAGGAACTGGACGTGTGGGGTTTTTGTTTTTTGGTTTTGCACATTGGCTATCTCACTGAAATGTGAGCTTCTTGAAGGCAGGGTTCATGCTTTTCCATTTATTTGTGTTCCCCACACTGACTAAGTTCAGAGTCTGGCACTTGGTAAACTCTTAATAAAGGCCTCTTGATTAATTGTATATATAGGGAATTCTCATGTGAATCAGCTCCCTCTATCGAATTCAAGTCAGAAACTTTGCTACAATTTATGACTTTAGAGAGTTTTCTAGAACATCAGAGGGTTAAGTGACTTGTTCAAGGCCACACAGGCAGCATGGGTCAAAGGTGGAATTTGGACCTAGAGAGGTCAGTGCTCTATCCGCTATGCCATACTGCCTCTCCACATAAAATATATAGATAGTATATACAAAGTGATTTCAGATGTTAGGAAGGGCAGTAACACATGGGGGGGATAAGTCTGATGTCGAAATTCTTGTTCTTGATGCAATGAATACATCTGTATTGATCTAAAAGAGAGAGAGAGAAAGAGAGACAGACAGAGAGAGAGGCAAAGACAGAGAGAGAAAGAGAGAGAAACAGACAAAGAGATGGAGGGACAGGGACAGAGACAGGGAGAGACAAAGAGACAGAAACAGACAGAGACAAAGCAGACAGTCTTTTTGAATTTGCTTTTGTTTCGACTTTTGCCCTCATGTGTTGAGATAACCCCATATCTTTGGAAGCTAAATTGGTTTAAAATCCCCTCTTGCTCAATGGTTATGCTACTCACTGCTTTCCCAAAGGCCAGAACAACTGGAGCCTTTGGTGAGCTTGGAGTACCTAATGAATCAATTGTCCCATCAATGATTAACTTTGAGGGGCCAAGCCAATGTCTTCTGGTAACTCTCTATTTAGTGGAGACTTTTCAAGGTTGGACCCTGTAAAATTATTTTCTTAAAAGACAAACAAACCTCAGATCTCAATACCTGTGTAAAAGACACACACCTGTTTAATCTCTTCCACTGTCCTCCCTCAGAGCAATGGGGCCATGGCTCCTGAATGGGATAAAGGCCTTGACCTTCCTTGTCTTTTGCCTGGTGTCAGACCAGCACCTCACAGCAGCCCAGGATAAGCTCAGGAGGTAAGTGAACTTAATCTCTCCTTAACATTCCATATAGAATTGTCTTATCTTTGGTCCAGAAAAGAGCTTGAGAGTATGCCATGTGTTATGACCATCAGGTTTATATAGTGTAGGACAGAATGGAAGTTCTTGTCCAAATTATCACTAGTGTTCCATTTCAGAAGCTTCTTTTTCTGACAAAGGTGTCATGAGTGGAGACAATATTTTGATTTGTATGAATTGATTCTTGCCCAGTTAATGTGATCTTGGGTTGAATTAAGACCTCATAATGTTCTGGACTAGCGCCACAATAGTACTGCTATACCAGAGGTTCTTAACATGGACCCCCAAGGAATTTATAAAGAGATTTCAGGGAGGCCATGAAGGGAAAATTACAACTCTATTTTCACTAATTTCTAAATGAAATTTAGTATTTCTTTCAATTATTTCAAAACATTGTCCTAAGAAGGGGTCCATGGGCTTCACCAGACTTTCACAGGGTTCTGTGGCACAAAAATGGTTAAGACTGACTCTATCTGTTTGGTCAGATCACATCTGAAATATTGTGCTTCGTTTAGAGCTCCTCGTTATGGGAAGTGAATTAATCATCTGGAGAATATCAATCAATCAACCATTTATTAAGTACTCACTGGGTGCTAAGCCTCTGTGAAACCCTGGGGATTCTATGCATCCAAAGGAGGGCAACCAGCACGGGGAAGGGCAGCAAGACTTTTGCCTCTGACACTACCTAGGCCGCTTTGGACAAGTAAGCTAACTTCTTAGGCCTCAGTTTTCAGCTTTGTAAGTTGGATTAGATGACTTTTGAGGTTTCCTTCAGCTCTGAACCTTGGATCTGGCAGTAAAGGCATATTGGTTTTTAGCCCACAATTATACAGTACCTTAAAATTTGCAAAGCACTTCACACAGATTATCTCGTTCGAGTTTCACAACAACTCTGTGCTGTTATTATCCTTATTTGACAGATGAGGAAACTGAGGCTCATTGAGTTGACTCGCCTGTGGAGCCATGTGGCTAAGTAAACATTGGAGGCAGGATTGGAACCTAAGCCTTATCTGACTTCAGATCTGGTGCCCTATTCATTTTGCCTCACTGCCTCTTGCATGAGGATCATTGGGGGATTGGGGAATTCCATTGGCCTGGAAGAGAGAAGGTTCAGAGGTGACATGAAAACTGGTTCATGTCCTTAAAAGGGCTGTGCCATGTGGAGGAACGATTTGACTCTTTGGGTTGGAACTTGGCTTCCTAGCTGCCCACACAGCAGAGTTGGGAACAATGGGTGGGAATTACAAAGAGGATAGAGAGAAGAAAAGCCTTTACCAACTAAAGGGATCCAAAGGGGCATTGGGAGGCCTGGGAGGTCGGGACTTCTTTTTCAAGCAGAGGATGGAAGACTTCCTCTTCATTATGCCTGGAACACACTTGCTGCATGCCTCCATCTTGGAATATCTAGTAGTTTCCTCAAAGGCTCAGCTCAAATTCTACCTTCTCCATGAGGCCTCCCCTGATTCCTCTAGACTTTTACGTTCCTTTCTTAATTGTGTCTATTTTGTATCTTTGTATATACACACATATCCATACTTATATACAAATGCATACATATACATGCACATACATACACACACATACATACACACATACACACATGCATACATAAATATTGTTTCTTTTTTAAAAGTTTTCTCCACTTGAGAGTATTCTGTTTTTTCCAATTACATGTAAAATAGTTTTCAACACTTTTATAAGATTTTTGAGTTTTTTTCTCCCCCCATCTCCCCCAAGACTGCCAGCAATCTGATATAGATTATCCATGTACAATCATATTAAACATATTTCCACATTAGTCATGCTGTGAAAGAAGAATCAGAACAAAAGGGAAAAACCACAAGAAAGCAAAAACAAACAAAAAAGAGAAAATAGTCATATTGTCTCTTCTGAATGAATAGAAGTTCCTTGTAGTTAATTTGGGTATTTATTATAGTAACTACAAAAAACATTATGTGCATCCAGAGAAAGCAGTGATAAATAGAATCTGTATAGAATGACTTTACATATATATGCATATTTGTGTCCAGTGGTAGCCATCTTGAGGGTGGGGGGAGGGAAGAAAAAAGAGAAAGAAGAAATTTACATGATAGTTTTACTATATATTTAGAAGGAATAGCAAGTTGTACATAGGATTTGTAGTTTCATGTGTGATTGCATCTTTTCAAAAATTCTACTATGTTATGGAAATGCTTGTTTTATTTCATTAAGTAAAAATAAAATAAAAAAATTTAAAAAAGAATGCAAGTTCCTTGTGGGCGAGAAGTGTTTCACCTGCTGTTTAATTAATGCTTATTGACTGACAGATGATTTGGGGATAGGTAGAGGGTGTACTGTACCGACTTTGTTGCCCCTCCAAAGCCACCAACTGACATTCTACAATTTTGTCGTTGTTTTGTGCCCTTTACTCTGAACATCCTGATATAGAGCGAAACTCTTCTCTCTGTTCTCTAGACCCCATTGATTCAGATTGGTAACATAGAAAACATTTATTTATGCTTTACACTTTAGGAAAGCACACACACACACACACACACTCTAATCTCGTCACTCTTGCAATGGCTTGTGATGCAGGAAATGCAAGTATTTTTGGTCCCTTTTTGAGATGCATAAACTGAGGACCAGAGTGGAGAATTGACTTGCCCAATGTCAGGCAAATTAAGAAGTAGAATTGAAACTTGAGCCTAGGATTTCTGATTTCAACTCTGACACTCTTCCCATTACACCAAAACCTTTCACGAGGTACATTTTGCTTTGATTAGATCATTCCATATTTCTTGTTTAGAGTATTTTAAAAGCAGGTACTTTGCTTCAAACTGAAGATTTTTTAACTATCAACCAATATGATCAAGTATTTATTAAGCACCTACTATATGCCAGGCACTGCACTAGGTGCTGGGGATACAAAGACAAACATAAAATGGCTCCTGCTTTAAAGGAGCTCACAGTCTATCAATTAGCCAATCGGCAAGTCTATTATAAAAATAGAAAGATGGCCTCAGAACCAGGAAGATCTGAGTTCAAATCCTGATTTAGACACATACTGTCTATCTGACCTCAAGTAAGTGATTTAAATTCTTGGCATCCAAGGCCACTCTCTAAGACACTAAATTAGAGAAGGTGACTACTTACATTGGTAGAGAGTATCCTGACTTGGGAGTTCTTGATACCAGTGAAATCATAAGTCCTATCCCTATGTGCCTTGCACAGTGCTGGGTTCAGGGGATACAGAGACAAAAACATCAAGCAGCTCTTGCTCTCCAGGAACTTGACTTTCCTGCAAATATTCTATTTAATTAATCAATCAACATTTATTAAGTGCCAGGCATTGTGCTGAGTTCTGGGGATATAAAAAGAGGCAAAAGATGGTCCCTGCCCTCAAATAGCTTATAATTTAGTACAAGATTTCAACTCTATCTGGCATCTCTATGGTGCTCAACGGTAATAAAGACAAACTTCCACAAGTATCATTTCATTTAAACCTCACAGCTCTGGAAGGAGTCAAGGTGAGCAAGGATTCCTATCCCAGAGTGGCTGAGTGGTTAATAATAATTGGCTAACATGTACATGGTACTTTACAAAGTTGCTTTGTGCATGATATTGCATCTGATTCTGCCAAGGAGAACTGTGGATTAGGTCTGGCATCATCATGATGAGAAATATTAAATACCTGGACTTACAACATACTAGTAAACTAGTAGTAGTAATAATGAGAATTTTAAGAGTGCGCATTTTAAGTTTTGCAAAACACTTTACAAATATGATCTCATTTGATCCTCACAATAACATTGGGAGATAGGTGCTAATATTATTCCTTCTTTACAGGTGAGGAAACTGAGTCAGATAGAGATTAAGTGACTTGTCCAGGGTCACACAATTAGTAAGGATCTGAAGCAGGATTTGAATTCAGATCTTTCTGACTGCATGTAGCATTCCACTCATTAGGATACCCATCTGCCTTTGAACTGTAGAGCAGGGATTAGACCAAGCCTCTTCATTTTAATGCCCATTGCATACCACATATATGCACACACACATATGAATTTTAACTCTAGTATCATTATAGCTTTTATATTTTATAGTAAGAGATATTTCCTTTTAAGCAACAATTCAATGAAAAAAAAAAGGAGCCCACTTTCTACAACATTTAATTTGCAACTTGTATTTAAAGCAAATACACTTTAGAAAAAAAATCAGAAAATTCATCACTAATAATTAGAAGATGAAGGCTAGGGAAGCTGTAGTAAGGGAAAACCTTTGCCGAGATACACTTAATTATAAAAGCTTATTATTGTAATCCCTTTTGAAAATGAACAAAGAGTCTCAATATTTGATGAACTTATCAAACAAGACAGACCCGGAGAAGAGGCGCATTTTAAGTCCAGGCAGAAGGAGAGCCAATTTAAGACTTTGCCCAGTGCTGCGGGAGATAATCAGCAGCTCCTTTGTCAGGGAGAACTCCGGCAGGCTTAGTGTGTGTGTGTGAGGGGCTAGAGCTGACCTGGAAGGCGGCCTGGCTGATCCTTTCTGCCATCTTTAATGGGGGACAATGATCAGTGGAACCAGTGGGATCGTGGCCAACATAAGGGGCTCTTTTCCCTGGCCAACACACATGCTTATAGCAATCAGGGGTCTCCTCCTAGAGTCCTGGAATCAGAGCCAAGGACAGAAAATGTTAGAACATAGAATGCGGCATCTAGGAGATGCCTTAGATTATAGACTAAGAGAAGTTAGGGACTTGTCCAGGGTCATGCTGCTAAGTATTAGAGGCAAGATTTAAACTCATGTCTTGCTGATTCTAGGTCCAGCTGCTATCTATGTTTGTACGGAGTTGTTATCACATTGCCTCCCGCAATAGACCCCTCCCCCACGAGACCCTTTGAGGGCAGGGATTGTTTTTTGTCTCTCTTTGTATCCCTAGTGTGTCGCACCGAGGTGCCTGGTACACAGCAGGTGCTTAATAAATGCTTGTTGACATGACTTGGCTGTCTATTGTAGTTATACTCAGATTCCCATGCAAACAGCATGAAGGAAGGGAAGGGAGAGAATATTGATTTTTTTCTTTCAAGCTCATTGCCTTTGAAGGTTAGCTATGGAAGGCAGGGATAAGACTGTGCTTGAAGATTGTATCTGTACTCATTCAAGGTCTTTTCCTTGCTTGCTTTGGGGAACAAATGCTTTTTGAAAACTTAGCTTGGCCATGCAGTAAGTGAGTGTGCGTATGGATTTTCAGCTGTCAGATCCTTTGTATCATCTTGACAATTTCATTGTGCAAATGTTTATAGAGGCTTTCACGGGGAAAGGCTCCCTCGTTCCCCTTCTGCTTAGTGGGAAGCAGGGGGTAAAAATGGAATATGCATCTTAGCCAATGGGGTGATGAGAGACATTTTCTTAAGTTGTCAGGACATTTGCTTTCTTTTAAAAATTTTTTGCTACTCAACCGCACTTGGTAGTGTTAGGATGGTCAACAAAGTGAAACACAATAAAAACTGATAGTGTGATTGGTAATGGCAACAATTCTGAGCTCTAAGTGGGGGACTCTGACACTTAGTAGCTGAGTAGGTCATGGGCCAGTTCCTCCCACTCTCTGACCTCTAACCCAAACCTGTGAGGAAGCTGGGAAAGCCATTCTCATGCCCTTTTTACTGATTGAGAAAACCGAAGTTCTCTCAGACAGGAAGGATAACAATAACGGGCATTTATGTAGCGTTAAGCACTTTAGGCACAATATCTTCTCGGACCCTCACAATGGATCCAGGAAGTGAGTTAGGATCTCAGCCTGGAAGGACCCCAGGGATTCTGAGAGACAGAGGCAAGAAGCCCCAGTTCCGCCAGCTGATGCTCATCACTTGTGTCCCCCAGGAGAAGGCTGGGCATTAGGGGAGGGGCTCAGCTGTGGACGTCAGTGACTCCCCAAATAGTCTGCTTTCAGCTTTGCTGGTTCTCTGTTGGGGATGGATTCCTGTATTTACCTTTGTGTAGACATCGTGTCACAAAGCTTTTAAATCCACAGTGACAAAGTTTCATTCCACCTAAGCTTTTGGTTACATCCCTTAATGCTTTTTCCCTCATTTCGACATCTTAATGGGGTCTCCATAGACTTGAAATGACATCCTGACAATTCCACTTGGATGTGCTGAAATATGCCAAACAGCAATTCCTCCCCTGCCTTATCAGATTATCAGCTTGTTGTTAATTTTTTTTTCTATAGTAACATATTACAGTGAGAAAGAGGATTATCTTGGAGTCACAGGACCTGGGTTCAAATCCCAGTTATCCCATTTATTTCCTGTGCACATTTGGTCATCACTTTACTTCTTGGGGGCTCAGTTTTCTCATCTGTAAAATGAGACCTCTGGACTGAGTGACACCTTTCCAGCTCTCAGTCTATGGGAAAAGGATTGTTTGGATTTTCCCCTCCTGTCTCGAGGGTTTAGCACAATGTTTGTTCCTTTTCCTCTTCCCTGCTTAATAAATGCTCATTGAGTGGACTTGATTTGAGTATCCTCTGATCTTAATAGTAATTTCAGCTAGTGGTTATAAAATATTTTAAAGTTTGCAAAGGGCTTTAAAATTTTGATCTGATTTGATCCTCCTAACAACCTTGAAAGGGAGGTGCTATTATTATCACTATTTTATAAACGAGGAAACTGAAGCAGATAGAGGCAAAGTGACTTGCCTAGGGTCACACAGCTAGAAAGTATCTGAGGCTGGATTTGAACTCAGGTCTTCTTGACTCCAGGCTCAATGCTCTGGGCCACTATGCCATTTACTTTAGGATTATAGGAACTATGGTTGCTAGGTGGAGCAATGGACAGGGTACTTGAATTGGAGTCAGGACTCCAAATATTGCCTCAGCCTTTACAAGCTGTGTGATGCTGGGCAAACCACTTCACTGCTGTCTGCCTCAGTTTCCTCACCTGCAAAATGGGGATAATAATAGTTTCTACCTAATAGAGTTGTGAGGAACAAATGTGATTATCCATACAAAGGACTTCATGAACCTTAAGATGTTATAAATAAATTTTTATCACCATCACCATCATCATTATCATTATTATCATCATCATCATCAATTTAGAGCTGAAGTACTTTAAAGCCTATTTAAATGTGACCTCCTTATTTTACAGATCATTCCCAAATCTCAGCTCCTTCCTCTAGCTTTAGAGACATTGCTTTTAGAGCAGAGTAGGAGCTTCAAGGAAGCTGGTGGTGCCACAGATAGAACACTTGGCCTAGAGTCAGGAAGAACTGAGTTCAAATCTAGTTTCAGATACTTACTAGCTGTGTGCCCCTGGAAAAGTCACTTAACCTCTGCCTCGGTTTCTTCAACTGCAAAATGGAGGCAATAACAGAAACTACCATCAATGGTTGTGATATGGATCAAATAAGATAATATTTGTGAAGCACTTAGCAGTGTGCCTGGCACATAGTAGGTACTTAATAAGTGCTTGTTTGCTCCTCTAAGAAGTCATGGAAATAAAACGCTATTTCTTCCACTAGAATGTAAGCCCTCTGAGGGCAAGGCTTGCTTTATTTTTGGCTTTGTGTCTTTTATTAGCCAAAAGCCCCTCCCTTTTTCAGTCTCCATGTGTCCCTCTTTTAATTTAAAGAATAGAAATGACAATCTTTTCACAGGTATCAGTGTTCAAGGCAGAAAGGGACCTTAGAGATTATTTAACCTAACCGCTTCATTTTATTTTAATTTATTTTCATTTGATTTTATAGTAACATAATTTCTTTATATAAAACTAACATATTTTCATCTAAAACTAATGAAATGCAGCAGGGAGAGTTTCTACTCCTTCCTTCCTTGAGGAGGCATGCTGCCCATTGTCCCTTGCATTTTCTCTGTGCCCCAAGTGGCGAGGTGATCACTTGGCTGTGATCTTGACCTGGGTGGGGTGGTGACCACTAACTGCCCTTGGTTTTTTGTTCTTTGTTGAGTATAGTACTGTGGGAGCACAGCACCAGAGCAGGAAGGAACCTTAGAGAAGGGGCCTCACAGATGAGGAAACTGAGGCACAGAGAAATGATTTCTCCAGGGTGACATAGTAAGTAGCAAAATTAGGATTGAACCGTTCCTGACTCCTAGTCTAGCATTCTTCTCACGGCATCAGCAGACTGTGCCATTTCGAATCTAAGTTCCCCAAATTTGCATCTCCATTTTTTCTTCATCCCCATCCTCCTCCCTAGAGAATACACCTTTTAAAATCCCCGTCTCCAAAAGAGTCTTAATTTACCTAATTTGTGAGCTCCCTATACTTTTGAGCAGAATGTTAACACACACACACCCATACCTCTTTTCCATTTTCCCATTCCCTACTTCAAGCACTTGGTTGAGGGTCCTGTACATAGTAGGTGAATAATACCTCAATCATCCACTCATCAAACACGTATAAAGTACTTACTGTATACCAGGTACTGGGGATGTGAAGAAAAAAAAATGGAAGTTCCTGACCTCAAGGGGGGTAATCTTGTTGTGAATTTATGAGCAGATACAATAATGAAATAATAGATGAATTAATGAAAGAACAAATAAATGACTGCATCAAAAAAAGTTGTGATTCTGGTGACTCAATACATGAAAATCAACTTAATTATTTCCAAATAAGCCCTGAGACAGGTTGATGTGGCAGTTATAATTTGACTTGTCTTGCAGGATGGACATATGATTGGCCTGAGACAGAAGGTTCTCCATTTGTAGTGGAAAGAAGGTTGGTTTTGGATTCTAACTTGGGTTTGAATCCTGGCCCTGTCATTTATTGTTTGACCTCTGGCCGCTATCTTACCATCTCCAACCCTCTGTAAAATGGGAATAATGGTATTTGTACAGCCTGGCTCACACAGCAGTTGTGAGCAGAGTGCTTTGTAAACAAAGGGCTAGGGAGAAGGGAGTGGTTCTTAGTAGCTGCTCATTATGGTTGTCATTCATTAAAGGACACACACACACACACACACACACACACACACACACACACACACTCAAAAGCCTGCACAAATCCCTGCTGTTAATGAGCCTGACCTTTCAATGGCCCGTTTTCCTTCTTTGCTTGGTCACTCATTCTCACCTATAGAAGCAGCTCCTGGTTTCCTACATATTCTCACTGTGGTCTCATGGAAAATCCTATAACTTGCAGTCAAGAAGACTTTGTTTTGTGTCACAACTCAGCTACTTCTGAGCTGTACAATCTCTGGAAAGACATTCTCCCTCTTGCACCTTTGGAATCTGCATTTATGAAATCATGACAATCCCGCTAGGTCCTCATGGGCTATTGGGAGGCCAGACCAGAAGACATAGATGAAGAACTTTGTACTGGCAAAACTCTAGACAAATAAGCCATATGGGCTAAATACAGTTTATTTACTTATTTTTATTGCTATCAAGTCAACAAGCATTTATTAAGCACCTACTGTGTGACAAGCACTATGCTAAGGACTGAGAATAAAAAGAAAGTCAAGGAATCCCTGGCCCCTAGGAAGTTCATAATTGAATGGGGGTGGCAATATGCAAACAATGGCACACAGACTAGAGATCTAGGGGAAATAGGAGGTAACTAGCACGGGAAATTCCTAAAAGTTCTATTGAATTTACTCTTTTTTTGGGGGGGGGGTTGTCTTTTCTCTTTAGAAGAATAGGGCAGGCAGATCAGCCCTCACCTCCCGCTCCAGTTGCTTGTCAGCTTAGTGAATGGTCAGCGTGGACAGAATGCTTTCCATGCCTGGGTACAAAGGTAAGAATTCTGGTCAATATCTAGTCCATTGCACATATTTTTGCCTTTATAGATAATAGAATAATGAAGGTGGCCTAAGAACAGAAAGTGTTATAGCTGAAATGAATCTTAGAATATAGACTGTTAAAAGAAACCCAAGAGCATAGAAAGAGTACAGAATGTTAGAACACAGCAGAGGACATCGGTGCTAGAAGGAATCTTAGAAAATAGAGTGTTATGGGTGGGAGGGACCTTAGAAGGGGGAATGTCAGAGTTGGGAAGAACCTTAGAGCATAAAACACATTGAAGGGACCTTAGAACAACAACAATAGCATCAACATTAGCATTTTTTATAACATTTCAAGCTTCATATGATGCTTTAGAAATATTATCTTATTTGATCGTCACAATAGCCCTAGGAGGTAGGTGCCATTATCATTCCTACTTAACACAGGAGGAACCTGAGACAGACAGAAATTAAGTGATTTACCCAGGGTCACAGAGCCTAGTAAGTATCTGGGACAGGATTTGAACTTAAGCCTTGCTGAGTACTGGAGAGGAGCTCAGAACATAAAATGCTAAACTTGGAAGAAACTTTAGAACACAGAATGATAAAACTGGAGTAGGATGGGGCATAGATGGTTAATATTAAAAAGTAAAATATCTTGGAATATAGAAGGTTAGAAAACAGAACAAAAATGTTAGTGTAGCCCAGGTTAGTTCTGGGGAACCCTAGTCCCAACTCTTACTATCACAGATGTTGAGTCACCAAAACCTCAGGATTCTAGGGGTATGCCTTATAGGTCAGGGGTGATTCTCTAATGCCATTGGCTCAAGCATGCTTCCCACAAGGTTATTGGTTGAGAATTAATTTAGTAAGCCAGCCTTAAGAGCAGTGTCGAAACCACTAACCCTGCCCCTCCAGCTTCAGAGATGTTAAGAGACCTGTTCAAGGTCACATAGCTAGGAATCTGAGTCTCGAAAACAGGTCATCTGTATTCCAGTTCTATTTTCTTTGAAAACTTGGAAGTGGCTAAATATGACCTATAATAATTGTCATATTGAGCCTCCTCTAAATGACCTTTATGGTTGCTTCCAAAGCTAAATTTCTATGGTTCTGCTTCATGATTGAGACTGAGCAGAGGAAATACAAACAAACAAACAAACAATGAATCGGTGGGAGTGGTTCATGAGATTTTCTGGCTCAGACGACTTGCCTTTGACAATTTTAAATGTCAGAAAAAGGCAACAGGATTAGTTTTGAATTGGGCAGGCATTTAGCTCTAAATGACTCTTTGCATTTTGTTAAGGGTCCAAGTGACTAGACTGGTAGATGAAGTGAATGCCATAAATAGAATTTACCTAGATTGTAGCAAAGCATTTCATAAAATCTCTCATGCTATTCAAGTGGAAAGAGGAAGAAACATGGGTTGAGTGATAGTGTAATTAGATGCATTCAGAACTAATTGAATGGCTGGACCTAAAGAGTAGTCATAAGGTTTCATGTTAACTTGGAAAGAGAGCACCAGTGGAGTGTTCCAGGCATCTAGGCTTTTCTTTAGACTGGTTAACATTTTTATAGATGACTTGGATGAAGTTATAAAATGCATGCGCATCAAATTTGGCAGAAGACACAAAGACGGGAGGGAATGATGATAGACTGAGTGGCAAAGCCAAGATTCAAAAAGATGGTGACAGGCTAGAACACTGGGCTGAATTTTAACATGATGAAATTTAATCAGTACAAATGTAAAATCTTACACTTGGGTACAAAAGTCAACTTCATAAGTTGACTTAGATAACATTTTATCTGGGGAAAAAAAGAATCTGGGGATTTCAGTGGATTGTGTGGTGAGTGGGGTTCCATGATGTTTCATGATAACCAAAATGCAAATCTTGAGATGCGTTAAGAGAGACATGGTGTCCAGCGCTAGGGAAGTGATGGTCCCATTTTACTTCATCCTGGTTATACTACATCTGGCAAACTGTATTGAATCCTGGGTGCCATATTTTAGAAAGGGTATTGATGAGCTCAAGAATGTCCAGAGGAAGGCAGCTGGGATGGTGAAAGGGACTGGAGTCTATACCGTATGAGGACTGGTTAGAGGAACTAGAAGGGGGTGTTATTTAACCCAGATAATTAAATAATTAGGAAAATATAATAACTATTTTCAAATATCTCAAGGGCTAGTACTTGGAAGACGGATTGGCTCCAGTGTGGCTGGCAGGATTGGGAGCAATCAATCAATCAATCAATCTATAAGTGTTTATTATATACATACTATATGCCAAGTACTGTGCTAGGTTCTAGAAATATATATTTGATTCTTTTCAACTTCTACCCATTTAATTTTAGATTATAGGATCATTATAAATGTAGAGAAAGAAAGGACCACAAAGATTCATCCCATTTATTTTATAAATGGGGAAACTGAGTCCTTGGGAAGTCAAGCAACTTGCCCAGTGTCCCCCAGCTAGTAAGTGACAAAGTCAAGATTTAAATTAGGTCCAATCATTCCAAAGCTATGTCCTACAACCCTAAAGGACATATAGAATATCTGGAACTTCCCTTATAAAAATAACTTTGTTAAAAATTCTCATTTTCCTTTGACTTTCTAAACTACTTTTTCTCAATTGTTGCCTTTGGAGATAACTCAGATGAAGGGCTTATAGTTTGGATCATAATTGAATCACTTTTTCCTGGAGCTAATAAGACTGACCTTTCTTCAGAGTGACATTTTTTGTATTTATTAAGCTCTGGTCATTATTTCAGTGGAATACAGCCAATGTCCTTTTGCACAGTAATGTTCTTCCTCTCAAACTACCCCACCAGAGATAAGCAATTGGTCAGAAGAAACTAGCAGTTTGAAGAGGAAATTAGGTTTCAGCATTACAGAATCTGAGAGGAGGAAGGAATTTCAGAAACCTTCTAGTCCAAGTAATACCTGATCAAGAATCTTTTCTACAGCACCCCTGGCCAGTGGTCAGCCAGCTTCCACCTGAAAACCTCCAGTAATGGAAAACTCAGTACCTCTTCCGGTTGCCCATTTCACTTTTCAGTGACTCTGTTTGAAAGGAAGGTTTTCCCGACATCAAGTTTAAATTTGTCTCATTACAATTTCCAATCCATGCTCCTGGCTCTACCTCTGCGGTCAAGGAAAATAAGTCTGAAGTTTTTACCATATGAAGGCCCCCCAAATACTTGACAAGGACAGCCATCTTGCTCTGTTCCCCCTCACCCAAAGCATTCCCAGTCACTTGAATCAATCCTTATGAGTCACGATCTTGAGTTAGAGCACTGAGCTGAAGTGGGTCAGATAACAGTGAATAACAATAAATGTAAAGTCTTACATATAAAGCCTAAAAAAATCAATGTCACAATAGAATAGGAGAGAGACATGGCTAAGCATCAATTCATTTGGAAAAGATCTGGGGTTTTGGTGGACTACACCTTCCATGTGAGTTAATAGTATGTTATGGCCGCCAAAAACAAACAAAAAGCTAGGATGATTTTAGGCTACATTGAGTCACAGAGAATCCAACACTAGGGAGATTCCTCTGTTCTTGGCACTGACTGGGCCACGTACATTTGGGGTGTTGAATTTCATCATAAGTATCACATATTTAAAAAATGCATCGCATTGATATCTCTAGGTTTTCATTGCCTAAATTTTCCTCTTTACACTCTATCCCATAACCTTATAGCAAAGCGTTTTTAAGAAATAAAAACGGAAAAAGAGTAAGAAGAGAAAAAATAATCAGTAAAATTGATTGCTATTTTAAGTGTCTAGAACGGGGGAAGGGGGAGAGGATAAGCACTGATTAAGCATCCACCTGGGTAATACTGTAAGCCATATATTGTGCTAAGAGATTTACAGATACTGATGCTCACAACCACCCTGGACGACAGGTCCTATTATAATCCCCATTTTATAGTTGAGAAAACTGAGGCTGAGAGAGTGACTTCTCCCAGGGTTACACAGCTATTAAATTCTGAGTCTGGATTTGAACTCAAGTCTTCCTGACTCCAGGATGAGCACTCTGTTCACTGAACAGGGGTCCATGGACAGATTTCAGCAGGTCCATAAACATGGATGGGAAAAAATTAAATATTTTCACTAACATAGCTGAAATTTGTAATTTCCATGAATATAGGCAACAAACATGATACAAGGAGGGTGCCATGGGCTTCACTAGATTGGCAAGGGGCTCTAAGGCCCCAAAATAAAGAACCCCTGGTCTAGAAGATGGTACCCAGAATGGTGGAAGGTGCAATCAGATGGAGAAACTGGGGAGTTTTAGATCAGAGGAGACTCGAAGACTTGTCTCCTCTTCCCCTCCCCCCAGGCCAACCCCATCTCATCCTCCTCAGCTTCCATCAGAGAAGGAAAGAGATCATCATGTTGCCCCATGGGATGCACCCTCTGGTCTGACTCCTCAGCCAACTAAAGGATGCAGCAGGGGCCTGGGAGAAGCTATAGAATGTCTGGGCATGGACTGAAATGAAGAGCAGGACCTTCCTTTAAACAGCCTAGTGCAACCTAGAAAATATTTATTCACTCAAGTCAGACAACAGGCATTTATTTAGTGCCTACTATGCGCAGGCACTGTGCACATATTAAGTGTCTATTCTATGGAAGCATTAAATGCATGGGATGAATGCTCTTTAAATGAATGGATGGATGGTATACACGGAGGTGTTTCACAACCCTCTATCACAGAATAAACACAATAAATATTTTCTGTGATGTATGTTTTCAGGTGTGTTCTGTGATACCGTATTCTTTTCACACAGATGGAGAAAGAATCAGGGACAGAAGGAATTATTGTAGACTCTTGCACCCTGCAGGGAATGCTCCCCACCAGGAGCTGTGTACTGGTGTCCCTGACCCCCTAGTTCTCCAGGAAATAGTCTATACCCATTCAATTGATCCAGCAGCGATATCTTCCTGGGCCATTGCCCAGCCTTGGAGGGAGAAAGGCCAATAACACAGCCCCTATACAGGGATCAGGCCTTTATTCATCACAACAGGGATAGGGAGTGGGTTGGTAATTAAAATCTGCCCACGGTCCCCAATTGGCCATTAGTTACCACCTCCTACTACACAGGTTATAAACCTTTTTATCCCGGCTGTTTAACCAGGAGGCAAATGGATGGCTTTGAACTTCACCTCCTCTGCGTTTCTCTGCTTACTTGGCTAATGAGCAGCAAAGAAGCCAAGAGGCGGACAAAGGGAGAGAGGAGGCGGGGAGGGCCCGGGCAACCCCTACCTCGGAATCACCCTGGCACGGAAGCATTTCTGAAGGTATCCCTAGAAAGGTTCTAGTGGCAGGACCGCGTGCTGGGCACAAGAGGACATGTGGCCCATCTCTCTCTGCTGACCCTCTTCTCACATTAGTACCAGCGCTATCAATAATTATCACAATAATAATATCATTACAGTAATATTAAATCACTTTCAGTAAGTCCAATCCACAAACATTTATTAAGTGCCTGCTATATACAGACACTGTGCCAAGCACGGAGAACACGAAGAAAGATCCCCGTCCTCATGGAGTTTAAATTCTTCTAAAGGTTCCATAGAATGCAAATCCACGTCCCACCACTTTCATTTGGTGACAAAAGTCAGCCATTTTCTCTCGCTGGGCAATAGATCCACAAGCAATAAACATAAAAAATAATAGGAGGCCGTGAGTTGTCCCAGGGTAATTTCTGTCTAAATTAGAGATGACACGAATGTAATAATAATAATAATAATAATGAAATAATGATAAAAATAAAATAATAGCTAAAATATATATAGTGCTTCATAATCATTATTTCATTTGATATATATATATATATATATATATGTATCTATATATCTATAAATGATATTGTCTCACTTGGGATATTTATGGGGGGGTCCAGCCCTGTGATTTCATTCTTCCCTAATTTCCTTCAAGACTCAACTTAAATCCCACCTTCCACTGGAAGCCTTTCCCAGCCCCTCTTCCTCCTGTTAGTCATTTCCTGTTTATTCTGTCTGTGACTTGTTGGCACACATAGTTGTTTGCTTGGTGCTTCTGCCTTTAGATTGTGTGCTCTGTGAGGGCAGGGACTGTCATTTGCCTCTTTTTGTAGCTCTAGTGCTCAGCACAGTGCCTGGTACATAGTAATAAATGCTTATTGACTCACTGATTGACATCTATAGAGAGCTCCTGGCATAGAAACTCCCTGTCCCAACACAAATTAGCAATTCCTCTTTTACTTATGACCTTAGAGAGTTAAGTGGGAAACAATGGTTCATTCTGTGGCTTGTCCACGATTACACAGCCAGGATGTGTCGTAGGAAGACACGAATCCAGGTTTTCCTGATGCTGAGTCAGATCTACAGGATTGCTGACAGCATCTTGACTCTCAATAGTAACAGCTCACATTTATCTAAAGAGGTGGCGTGGTGTAGTGGGTAGCGTTCTGGCCTCTGAACCAGAAATTCCTCGGTTGGAACACTTCTAAGTAAGTTAATTCTCTGCTCTGATGGTTAGTTTCCCCAATCCAAAATATGGACGTGAAAGTACAACTGTCCTACCTAGCTCATGGGTTTATTTTGAGGCTGAGTGAAGATAAGTCTATGTAGAAGACTCTGCCAACTTAAAAAGTGCTATATAAAGTGGCCTTGAAGTCAGGACAGTTTGAGTTAGTCCCAACCCTGCCCTGAGCTGGTTATGTGATCATGGGTCAGGCACTCAACCTAAGGTGCTGAGCTGCAGAACCGCTGTTGATATGCATTAAGAGAATCTCCTCACCTGGGAGTGCCCTACACTGAAGAAGCCACAAGTTCAGATGAAATATACAGATATGGAAATATGATCTAGCCAGGTGGTGCAAGAGTGCTGGGTATGGAGTCAGAAAGACCTGAGTTCAAATCTAGCCTCAGATACTTATTAGCTGTGTGGCCTTAGGCAATTCACTTAACCTCTGTCTGTCTCAGTTGCCTCATCTGTAAAATGGGGATGATAATAATCTCATAGGGCTGTTGTAAGGGTAAAAGGAGATAATATGGATAAAGTGCTATTTCTGGCTATCATCATCATCATCATCATTATCAAAGTACAACCTACCATGGTTGGGTTTCACTTTGCATCTTGGAATGAAAGTCTACATTAATGAGATCATAGATCTATCTGAGTATTTGAATTTACATTAGTAGACATACTACTTATGCCTATATATGTCTATGAGTTATCATTACATAGTAATTTCTGCTAACAAAGGACTTCATACCCATTGCCAACAAAACAGTGAGATCAGTAGTACAAGAAGTGTTATCCCATTTTGTAGAGGAAGAAAGAAATGCTCAGATGAATCAGGGGACTTATCCAAGGTGACAAAGCTAGGAAATGATGGTGCCAAGACTGGAAGCCAGCGTTTCTGACTTAAGAACCCAGTACTCGTTGTATTACACAGCCTCTCAGCCATTTACTGGTCATACTCTAATTCCTTGGGTGCTTATATTCCGTCACCCTGGAATGCAATTCAACTCTGAAAATGTTTTCTGAGCCCTCACTTAGTACAGAGCACTATGCTAGGCACTGGGGGAGGGCATACCAAGACATGCCCTCTGGAGCCTCAAGAAGCTCAGGCTCCAGATGAGGACCATTTCTTAGGGACACCTGGTTCAGGGACACCCTCAACCAAGGTCATAATAGCCTTATAGAATTGGAGGCAAGGAGGTACAATGGAAAGAACCCTGGCTCTGGAGTCAGAAGACATGGGTTCAACTCTGCCCTCTGTTGGTTATCATTTGTGTGACATTGAATAAGTCAACTATCCTCCCTTGACCTCAGTTTCCTTCTCTGTAAAATAAGGTGGTGAGAGTAGATTACCTTGAGGTCCTCTCCAGCCCTCATCCTTGGTCCTATAAGTGTCTGATGCTCAGAAGGAGGGTAGGTGACTTACCCATGTCATATAGCTGCAAGTATCAAAAGCAGAATTTAAACTCAGTTCTTTTTGACCTCACGACCAGAATTCCATTCATTGTCCCACGTTGCCTTGTTACTAAAATTCTCATCACAGGAATAGAGGTTGTAGGAATTTTACTTTTCACCTATTTCATGAGTATTTGCTTCTCCAGTTCCTTCAACTAATGTCCAATCCCCCTCCTCCCAAATTAGAATCTAGGTTTACTGAGGGCAGGGAACAAGTCTTAGTCATTTTTATATCGCCTGGAAATCCTAGCACAAGACCTTGTATTGTGATACTAGTCTACTCATTCCTGTTGTATAATGCAAAGATGCAGAGAAATTCCTGGTTAAAAATCTGGTTTAGCATCGATACAGAAAACTCCTACAACCGTCCAAGTTTGGGGGAAGCGTATGTGCTGGAGACCTTTGGGACGAAGCAGCCTGCACCAGCTCTGAAAGCTGTGTGATGAAAATCCAATGTGGCCATGATTTCCAGTGTAAGGAATCAGGTGAGCAGGACACAGAGGGCTGAGCAGGTACAGTGCGGCCTCTGTGTATGTATCGTCTATGTATATATTATGTATATGTATGTATACACACATATATACACCTATGTAGCGTGTGTATGTGTATATACACATACATATATGTACATATATACACGTGTGTGTGTGTGTGTGTGTGTGTATGGTGAGAGAGAGAGAACAGATAAATCATTTGCTAAGAACTTACCATGTGCCAGATATTGTGTTAAGCTCTTGGGATATAAAAATATTAAGCTTAAATATGTCTTTTTTTTTTGCAATCCCCCCAAGCTGCTCCCCTGCCTTCCCTCCCCATTGTTCTGGTTTCGTCCTCTGGGTCAAAGCCGAATAAGGCATAAGACTAATCCCTCTTCCACAGGACAGCCCTTGAAATACTTGAACATAGATCTTCTCTTTCCCCCAACCTCCAGAGTCTTCTTTCTCCAGACTAAGCACCTCCATTTCTTTTGGCCAACCTTCACATGTTAGGGACTCAAAACCCTTCAGCAGCCTGATTTCCTCTTTGGATACTCTCCAGTTTCTCAGTACCTTCCTTGAACTGTGGTGCCCAGGATTAACCACAGTACTCCAGATGAGGTCTGAAGAGAGTAGAATCTAGTGGGACCTTTACCTCACTGAAGGATCACTAGCTTTCTCTGTGCAACCTAAGCTTGAGATCACATCAGTTTTGAGGCTGTCATATTATGCTGCTAACTCATATTGTGATTACAGGTCACTCATACACCAGGATCCATTTCAGAATGGCTACTGTCTGAAGGGACCTTCCATGGGTGGCATGTGTGATGATGACAACTGTTTATGCTCACTGTAAAACTTTACATTTATCTCTATTGAATGTCATCAGAGTAAGTTTAGTACAGTGCACTAGTCTGTTGAGATCCTTTTGAATCCTTCATTGTGCAAGCTATACCTCCCATTTAGATGTCATCTACAAATTTCATGAAGATACTATCTATAGCTTATGCAAGTCATTGATAAAAATGTAAAACAGCCCTGGGCTCAGCAGCTGAGGTCCTTCACTAGAGACCTCTTGCAAGGTTGACACGGAACTATTGACAGCTACTTTTTGAAGGCAGCCATCCTCAGTTCTGAATCAGCTGTGAATCTATCCTTTCTTCTCCCATTCTTCCCACAAACTTCTCCAAGAGAAGACTGAATCAGAAGTCCAGAAGTTCTCCTTGGTTGACCTAAGGAAAAATTTCTTCTTTTTTTTTGGCTAGGCAATGCGGTTAAGTGCCTTGCCCAGGGTCACACAGCTAGTAATTGTCAAGTGTCTGAGGTCAGATTTGAACTCAGATCCTCCTGACTCCAGGGGAAGTGCTCTATCCACTGTACCATCTAGATGCCCCAGGGGGAGAAAAAAAACTTCTCAACAATCAAAGCTGTCCAAAATTTTCATTTGTTTTTGTATTCCCAGTACTTTGAGCATTGGAGGCATTAATAAATTCTTGTATGAATGAATGAATGAAAACTGGGGTGGGTTACCTTAGGAGGTGATGATTTCTCTCTCAGTGAAGGTCAAAAAAAGCCTGGATGACCACACTTCAGAAAAGTTTCAGAGAGAATTCTTGGCCACATATGAGTTGGAGTAGACGGCCTCTGGAATTCCTTCCAGCTGTAAGACTCTAAAATTCTGATCTTCACAATAATCTTCCTTAGATTTCATAGAGCTCTCTCTGTGCCTTTCTAATGCACCTATCTCATTCTAATGTGAGTGAGACGTATTGGTATCCCTGCCTTATCTTCTGCCTGTTTCCTTGGCATATTCTTATTCTTATTATTTCTGTCTGATTCTTATTTGAGTGATACGTATTTGTGTTCCTGTCTGATCTATCACTGTTACCCCCATCCCTGGCTCCACCCTCATTAGGCTATTAACTCCTTGGGAGCAGGTGCCCTGTTAAGGAATCAAAAGATTCCTTAAACCCTAGCAAAACACATATACAGCATGGACAAAACACGTAGCATGGACCAAATGTCACAGACAGCATCAAACATTGCAGACCTATGACTTCTGTTGTGTGGAAATCCTTCCCCTGATGCAAATTATAACCCCGCCTATGACTTAGTAGATTAATCATAAGGAGTTTCCCAGTCTCAGAGAGTTCAAGTACTTTGCTTGTGGTCACAAAGCTAGTAGGTGACAGATGGGGTTTGAATCTCCCTTCCTAACTCTGACTGTACTATAGCACCTTGCTCTCTCATAACCACATGTGTTGACCAACTCTTCATCTTCAGCCTGAATTTTCTCTAAGGCTGTTTAGGTTAACTTTGCTTCTTTAGCTCAGAATGATTCTAAACAAAACCAGCACCCTTAAGAGTTCCCCTTGGGTTTTCCAGATTCCCCCTCTTTTCTCTCACAGTTGAAATATGGTTGCTCATTGAAGCATTTGTTGGTTTGTACCAAAGAGGGGGCCAGCGCATGACCTACTTTTTTCAGGTCGTTGCATCAAGCGGCGCCTTCTATGTAACGGAGATCGAGACTGTGATGATGGGTCTGATGAGGAGGGCTGTGAAGATGCTGGGATTCTTAAAAATGATTGCCTGGAATTCAACCCCATCCCTGGATCAGAAAAGGCAGCCCAGGGGTGAGTAATGACTGCTAAGCAACTGTGACTTATCAGGCTGTTGTAAGTATGCTTTCTGCCCCAGGCCTTTGGGTTACAGGGGTCCTCCCCACTCATGCTGGGGAGAGAGGATGATCTATGTAACCAGTTGAATGTTACAGATGAGGGAACAGGGAGAGAAAACGCATGCTTCAAACATAGAGGCTTAGGTCTGCAGAACTGGACTAAAGGGCAGCCATGGTGCTAAGAACAGACACCATCCCCAAATGCAAGGATGTATCTCTATGATAATAATAATAATAATAATAATAATAATGGTTTACATAGTACTTCAAGGTTATAAGAGTGCTTTACACATATTATCTCTGAAACTTTAATACATGCATCAGATGTGAGGGCATCTTTATAAAATGGCAAAAAACACAAGTTGGAAAAAATCAGAGCATTTAGAACTTGGACGGCCTTTAGAGATCATATAGCCCAAACCCGTAATAAGTCAGGTTGGATGAAAGGAGAGGGTCTTGAACTCGGAGTCAGGGAGACATGGATTTAAATCCTGCTTCAGACCCTTCCTAGCTGTGTGTGTGTGTGTGTGTGTGTGTGTGTGTGTGTGTGTGTGTGTGT